TCTCTCTCTCGCGTACGCACAATTTTAGGGACGTGGCACAATGCATTTTGATTTCCTGGTCTTCATTGTGGTTATATTCACTATATCTGCAATAACAGTTAGAGAGATGGGTTTCCTTTAATTTCTATCAACTGATCAACACAGCAAACATTCATAATGGACCCTTTTGTTTAAGTAGCTTCACTGGGATTCTCTTTTTTCCAGATCTGCAGAAAGATTTGATCCTAGGGAGCCTTCTTGGACGAGAATCAGCAGCATGAATATGAAAAGAGGCGGCCACTCATTGGTGGTGTTGAATGAAAAACTGTAAGTTATATCATATAAACTATCTCTATCTTTCCTTTTTCACTATTCTGACAAGTCCATTATACCTGAATGTTGAAACGTAATGCCTAGCATATAAATGTTATGTTATAATGCTAGCGTAAAAAAGAAAAATAACTTTTGTCAATTTTTATGATTTTATTCAGATATGCCATTGGTGGTCATGATGGGGAAACAATGGTGCCAAGTGTCGAGATATACGATGTTCGAATGGGGACTTGGACAGCCGGGGAATCTCTGAACCAAGGCAGAGCATATTTAGCTGCTGCGGTTCTTAAAAACTCCATTTATGTTATTGGAGGGCTTAAAGCCGGTCCATCCATAATTGACTCCGTATGTCACATACACATATATGTTGTTATTTACACTTCTTTCATTATTCTCCAATGGCCTTTCCATTGCTCTATTTTGTTGCCACATGGCACAAATAATCCTATGTGGCATGGAAAATGTCTAGAAGTCTTTTCTAGATGTAGAAGTTGTTCTAAACAACTTCTACTATTTATTCAATATATCTCTCTTTTCCAACCAATTACAATTTTACACATCACTTGCATTATTTATTGAATGCAAAATATGCAGATTGAGTGTTACAAGGAAGGTCAAGGTAGGCGAGAAACAAACTTGAAGTCGGTAGGGAATATATGCTACACATCTGCTGTTGTTTTAGGAGATGATTAGGGGAAAAGTTTAGTATTGTACATTTTTTTGTAAGTGATGAGGATGAAATCCCATTTGTCCCTTGTTTGGGAAGTGAATTTTGTCGAAAGAAACCAAAGATGGAGCTTTTACCTGCTCCCTTTTTGCTGGGTTTGCTTTTGAAATGTGCAGAAAGAAACTGTAATGACCTGTAAATGCTGTGGCTTTTACTGCAGATTTTGCTGTTCGGAGTAAGAACTAAGAAGAGGGTTTTGTTATATATTCGTGCTATCGTAAGGTTTTCTGTTGATAAATTTACGAACCCTGTGATCGGTTTCCATTTTTTGTGGGTTTTAAATTTCTGTCGTATTTTTTATGGGAATCTGTCGCGTTAGTAATTTGATTGAATTGGCTATTATTTGTTTATCCATTGGGTTCTACAGCTTTTCTTTGGTTGATTCTTGGTGTTAATGTGTGTTTTTACTTTTTAGTACTACAAAATGAAGTCTTATCTCTTTTGGACGTGTTTCACTTTTTTTTTTTTTTTCNCTGTCAGATTGCACTTGGAACAACAGATACTCTTACACTATAATATTCTTTCCAATAAGAAGCTATCAATCAGCAAGGCATTTTACACTCTACAAACATGTATTGTGTAATCTGTATACATACATGTACATAACAGATGAATATACATCATCATCCTTCAATCTAAATGCTGCAAAATAGTTACAAGCTGCACGATAAACAGATTTTAAGTCCACCGTACAGGACAGCGTACATTATTTGACAGCCATGGATAGATGGACTTCTCTCTCTTTGCAGAGGTACACAAGCTCGTGTTTTGGCCCATTATTACACTGCTTTTTCGAATATTGATCTTCCAAAAAGCATTCCATAGCAATAGAAACCCGCAACACCAAGTGTTTTACTTTAGGCGTTCTATAAAAAGGAGCAATAAATGTAAATCTCTTTTTTGCACCCAACTCGGGTAAATCCAAGAAAACAAACTGAGATGATCGTTCACCGAGAGAAATCACAACCCACAATCTCGTTTCCCTGGAAATGTTATACAACGTGATGTCGAGAGGCAAACCCACAGGTAGACCTGTAATGAAAGGGAAAGGATTTTCGAAACTATTATTGCCATGTACTTCAACTTCCGCCTCATAGTATTCGAGTTCTTCGGGTAAAATAACACATTTTAAAGAGAAAAGGTGAAGAGACTTCTCGAACAGGTCTAACTCGTTAATAGACATGGGCCCATTTTCGGATTTTCGAATCTCGCTTGATATTTTACGAAGCTCATCAACAAAACTAGAGAGTTCCATCGAAGAAGATTCTTCTTTGAGAAGATCCTCAACCCGAGAAAGCACGAAATTCAACTTTTTCGTGTAGCCCTCAAAGCAAAATGTCCCTCCATGAGAGAACTTTACTACACAAGTCAAAAGCATTAGCTCAAAAATATGCAATTTTCCCTCTCGGCTCAGACCATGGAACCTATATAGCATCTCCTCGAGTAGTCTTTCCATTTTGCACAAGAGAGGCATAAGAATTAATCCCATCCCCTTGAATCGAGGATTTCTCTGAGAAAATAAACTCGTCCAAGCCTTTCCGAGCAATTTTACGACGTGCAAATATCTCAAAGCGAATACCAAGATACCACTGGGTTTGCTTGACACGTCGGGAAAAACAAAAACCCTCAGCTCTTTTTTCAAATTCCTGCACATACGAATAATATGAAAGCCAAACATTTTATGAGTTCATGAAGTGACAAAATGATCTTTTTTCTGAAAACAATTTCCACTTCACTATTTGAACTTAACTTTTACCTCAATATTTGAACAACTTCATTCATGCAGCCGAGACGGATCAGGGGCCATAAGTCACCAACTTTCTTTAAAACAATTTCCACGTAGGTTGATGTTTTGAGTTTTGAATTCAGTTCCAGTGATTTTGGAAAAAAAGAAGGGATCTTTTTGTCACTCTCTTTGGGAAAGCTAATCAAACTATCCTCCAGATTAAGATTCGGTGCTTCTTCATCTCCAGAATTTTCAGAAGCAGAGGCAACAGTGAATTTGCTGCAGTAAGTCAGATAAGATAAAAGGGCGTTCTGGTCCATTACACCAACTAGGGCATGGGATAGCCTGCCCAATAGGGTGACCGCATAAGAAAAAAACTGTGGAGGAATACTGCACACCTGTCGCTCGAGGGATATGGGTGCCGAGATAGCAAGGGCTAGTAATGCAGCTGTCCTCAGTTTGTGAAAAACTAGCTTTCCTTCAAAAGAAGGCTCCAACTGGGTAAAAGTTTTAGGCAGAGATAAGTTAACTAGTTAAAACTATTTTCACAGGATTTTTTAAACAGTGTAAAAGGCACAACCTCAATTTTGG